AGAATCCAAAGTCTATATAAGACAGCCACCCTCACATTTAGTTTCTCTGTTATACTGACAGAGCCGATAGTTCTGAATATTTAATTCTATATCAGATACTACGGAAGAGCACCATGTTTCTGTGACAAGTGTGAAGTAAGGTTTGGCTTGTAAAGTGATTGTTCTTAAGTCCGAAATTTAGGAGTAAACGTGCATTAATAAGTAATAAAATTAAAAAGAAAGTATGAAATGTAAAAAACTGAGTACGTACTTACTGATGTTATGTGTTTTGAAGGTGACTGGACTATGGTTTAATATGGCATGAAGAAGCTGTAGTACTAGAGGAAGCAGGGATTTCTGAAGAACAAAATGTCATTATTTTGATATGGTGAACTTAATTGCTGAAACTGACTTGGCGGACAGTTAAGAAAGTTATTGTTTGTTGGGGTTGAGTTATTGGTGCTCAACCTGGCAGTCCATCTCGCCTGTCGGAAAAGTGATTCAGTATACAAAGAGTTTTTCGGGTGCAACCATGGACCACGTTTGTTCCTTGAAAACTGTCTAATTCTAAGCCTATGTACATCAGGGTTGCAGTAGACATTTTGTGCATCACTTGCTGAAAGTATAGCTGTTGATTTAGGTTCATCTGAGATGATGAAATGGTGGATCGGTCAGTTCTTGTCTCTGTGGTCATATAACCACCCCTACGATTATTAGGGTCAAACATGGCGTCAAGGTGTATATTTCTATCTGATTGAGCTTTCCTAATATTTTCGATATTAGTTTTGGAACCAGACACTTCTGTATATGCTTTATTCTCATATGGTTTAGATTTTTTTAACATTGACAGTATTTTGAAAAGCTTTCATGTTAAAACTATAACCTTAGATTTAATTTATTTGCTTAACAATGTAATTAATCAGAATTTTCGGGTCAGGTAGCAATCAATACTTTTTGTGTATAATACTGACTTGCTAATTAGTATTAACAGAGAATCCGTTTGGTCGATAGAAAAAAATCTTTTTATTTAGAACAAGGCATGATAAATAAATTATATATTTGTAATATCCCAATGAGTAGAAAAATTAGATTTTCTGACGTTTCGTGACTCAGTGTAAGCCACTTCTTCAGAGAATAAATAAAAAAGAAGTGGCTTACACTGAGTCACGAAACGTCAGAAAATCTAATTTTTCTACTCATTGGGATATTACAAATATATAATTTATTTATAACAATCTACCCAATGCTCAATTTATTCAAAATTATCAAATCAAGTCTTGGTAATGACACCTACAAAGGCATGATAATGTTGTTGGGGCTAAAATGAAACCATCTAGGTTACACTAATAAAACTATTCATCCAAGCTAGATTTCTCGTTTAGTTTTTCAATATAATATTTGCTTACTATAAGGAAAAATTTAGTTTTTAAGTAAGGTAATTTGATGAGTTCGTTTTCCAAATACATCTGAATAAATCTCCGTATTATGCCGATAGTTGAAAGTGACAAATATAGTACTATAAATTTATTAAATAAAGTAACTAAACTGAATCTGAACCATTCCTAATTAATATAGAGAATAATCATTTTTTCAATCATGACCATCATATTTTCTAGATTTTTGATACAATTAAAGATGCATTACTTTATACTTAAAACGTACATAAAACAGTCAGTAGACATCATAGACTTTGATTTCTGTACTGGATTTTATACGACCTTAGAAACTTGAAATTGAATAAATATTTAAAATGTCAGCATTGTGGTTTGTATCATCTCATGAGTTAGTACTTCAATTACATAATGGTCAGATGACTTTATATGTTGTAAAAATCATTTCTAATAGCTTCGAGGAATTACTGGTTACTTATTTATTTATTGACGGAGAAGCTTTGGAGGATGTGAGAAGCACAACTGATGAACACGATGGATCCGATGCAGATGTGAAGACGTGTATCGGCAAAGTGAGAGCAGCATATTTACAACGGAAGAACATGTGGAACTCAAAACAACAGTCTGTCAACCAACACCAAGATCATAATTTTCAATACAAATGTCAAGACAGTTCTACTGTATGGGGCGGAGACGTGGAGAACCATGGAAGTCATCAACCAGAAGATACAAGTGTTTATTAACAGTTGTCTTCGCAAAATACTTCGAATCCGTTGACCAGACACTATCAGCAACAACCTACTGTGAGAGAGAACAAACCAGATTCCATCCGGCGGAGGAAGAAATCAGGGAGAAACGCTTGAAGTGGATAGGACACAATTGAGGAAATCACCCAACTGCCTCTCAACGCAAGCGCTCACCTGGAGTCTTCAAGGTCAAAGGAGAAGGAGAAAACAAAAGTATATACTACTCCGAAAAACGGAGACAGACATGAGAAAAATGAACGAATATTGGATAGAACTAGAAAGGAAGTTCCAGGACAGAGTGGGTTGGAGAATCTTGGTTGGCGGCCTATGCTCCATTGGGGATAACAGGCTTAAGTAAGTAAATATTTATTTATTTGTGAATAATTTGGGCAGATTCATTTTTTACTATTGTTGTTATTTTACCAGTATAAATATGACAAATAACAATTATGATATTTAACAGTTGATCAGACAATTTGTATTAAATAAAGCAGAATCTCACTAATTAACCGGAGGGTGAATATATGTAGATTGAGCCTTTCTTACCTAAGTGTTAATAATATTAAAAATTAAAAATTCTTCCATAAATTGATTTTATATTATATAGTTGAATGTCTTGACTGTTAAGAATGTATTAAATCTTTTTTTATATCAAAATGAAATTGGTTTCGATTTTGATGAGGGTTGCTAGTGTGATAAAGTGTGATTAGTAAACTACTTCTTATCTATCTGGCAAACAAGTATAATACTAAGTGAGTGAACTTAAATTATAATTTAGAGGATATCAGTTCAAATCGTACTGTTAGTAAAAGTTTCTACTTCATTTTATTTAACATTGTATGCCAAACCTTATAGAGAAGCTCTGGAAGATGTAGAATCTTTCAAGTGCCTGGATAGCAGCACCATCGATGAACAAGAAGAATCTGATGCAGATGTAAAGGCAAGGATTGGCAAAGCAAGGGCTGCATCCCTACAATTGAAGAATATATGAAACTCAAATCAATTGTCAACCAATATCAAAGTCACAATCTTCAATAAGAACGCCAAGACAACTCTACTGTACGGAACTGAAACGTGGAAAACTACTACAACTATCATCAAGAGGGTAGAAGTATTCATAAATAGTTGTCTATTCAATATATTCAACACCTACTGACTGGATACCATCAACAACAGCCTACTGTGGGAGGGGACAAACTAGCTTCCAGTTGGAGAGGAAATTAGGAAAAGACGTTGGAAGTGGATCAGACATACGTTGAGAAAATCACCGAGCTGAATCACGACATAAGTGCTAACTTGGAATCTTGAAGAGAAACGGTAAAGAGAAAGGCCAAAGAACACACCGCGTCGGGTTTTGGAAGCAGACATGAAAAGGATGAATAATAACTGGAAAGAACTGGATAGGATTGCTTGAGACAGGGTTGGATGGAGTGTGATGATGGGCGTCCCATGCTCCTCAACGAGGGGTAACAGGCATAGGTAAATAAGTAAGTGTATGCCATAAGAAGAATGAAATTAATTGTTTTTTTTCTTACCTGGCATTACATTGAAATGAAATCATTATTTTGTACAATAATAAATGATGAATATATTTGTTTATCACAGGAAGTATTCTATCAGCATAATGATTAATTAATGTTTTTTTATAAAAATACTTAAAGAAATATGAAAACAAAATACGGAAAATAAATCATTAACATCGTGTTATACATTGGCTGATGCATAGTTTTGTTCCTAAATCATGTATATCCTATAGTAAATAAAAAGTGTAATTGATGATTTTATTCTAGTCTCTTTTATGAATGATACTTAATTATTATGTATTTTAGTAAATGTATCTCTATAAGAAATATGGTAATGTTATAAAGAAGAATTCAGAAAATGATATAACATTGTATATGATGTATTTTGATTAATAATTGCTTTAGCATATAAGGCCCCCAAATGTCCTGGTACGGCTGAGAGTGGGGAGAGTTAGCTCTCCCTCTTCAAATGCTCTCATATGGCCAGCGAAAATATAGCCTCTGCCAGGGAAGTCCTACTCACTGCCTTCTCGTGGCGGGGGTGTTGTTCACAAAAGTGAGAGGACGAAAAGCGAATGTCAGACGCTTTAACCAGGTTGGTGGTTGTGGAGGAATTAAATGAGATGACGATATTTTGTGTGGCGCACATATATCTGGTGCCCCTTTGTACCTATATTTAAGTGTTTAAATAAATAAATAATGAATAAATAAATATAATCAAAATAACTCATATGATTATTGTCTTAATAATTAACAGAAATGTTGATTGAAGGTTTCCATTTTCAACGTTTAATCATTTTTTAAACCAACAAAATTCATTTCGAACTGTTTGTTTAAATCTTTTCACTGATGGTTAGGACCGCAATTGATCGTTCCCTTATCAGTAAATGTGCAACCTTTGCAGATTGCCTCGATTTTACCTTACGCCACAAGCTTTATGAGGAAAGATAGATGGTGGCTAGCAGTGAAATCCAAGACGCACGTTTCATCCTATTTTTAGATTCGTCAACTGGATTTACGTGCATCTCAGTGTTGATATTCATTACGGGACGAAACGCGCATTCTGGATTCCACTGCTAGCCACCATTCATCTTTGCAAACAAAAATACATTATAATCGTAAATATATTGTTCCTGAAAAGTAGCAATGTAATGATCACTTATCAGCAAATATCTACTCTTTGTTAATTAAGATATGTGGGACTTTAGTAATATAACACATTTTACGGATTTGAATAATTTTTTTTTCAAGATTGTGAATAAATCAAGAAAATTATTTCACATTTTTTACCTTATCATTCTATCCAATCATTAATTTAAGTAATTGACTAACTGATTGGTAGAATTTCTGACCAATGAACTGATTGTGTATGTTGAATTCTTTAAACTAACTTTGTACTTTACGTTCATTATTAGTATTATTATTATTATCATCAGTTATATGTAAGCAAATTATTGCTTTCCAAAGATCCTTTATCGCGATCTGTATTGTACTCAAACATATCTAACACTGTAATTAACCATTTCGAAAGTATTTAAAAATAGCAATTTTTTTTTCCTGGATATACTTTAAATCTGGAATAAAACTAACTATTGGAAATAATTGTTGGAATATATTCATTTATAAATTATATGGTAGATGAGTTAAATATGAAGTCTGCAAGTTCGATTTATCAGGCAACTGGAAATACAAACTCAAAAGATATTATTAGTCAAGGTAAAAAACTTAATACAATATTCGTTTATGTTGATTTTGAAGTAATGCATACTCTTAACTTGTTCTAAAAAAAATTTAAGAAAGGGGGTTTTGTGGAGACTGTAGTAATTTAATAGTTGAATTCATGAGTCGATTGAAGCTAAACCACCATGGAAGACCTAGAAACACTGGATGACTGTTTTGTCCCATTATGGGACTCCTCAGCAGTGCAAATCCATGAGCCCGCCTCGCGAGATTCGAACCCATGAACACTAGACCATTGAGCCGGCATCCAACTATGTTAATGTCTAACTTTAACCAATCCACGAAATTGGGCAACTGTCCGCCATTGTCTTCAGTGAGTTACTGCCTCAAAACAAATTCGGTTGTACTCCGCATATTATGACTTCACACTAGAACTCTAGGAAATTCATCTTGAAGCTAGTCAGTAGTGAGCAAAACCGAATATCTCGGGTTCGAATCCCGCATGTGGGATCGCGAATACACGTTGATGTGGAGTCCCATGCTGGAACGAAGCTGTCGTCCACTGCATCCAGGTTTCCCATGGTGGTCTAGCTTTATTCGACTAATGAATTAAACTGTTAAAAATTTAGGAGTTTAAAGTACACATTTCTAGACGAGATTGTTTGTAAATTACTTGACTTATTTGTATCGCTGTTATTTCAAATAGTGTATCATTAGATTCATTATGTTATACAACAAATATTAGCAAATGAAGCATCGCTCTTGAAAGTAATAACTCAACTTTTATCTTACTTTGAGATGACCATATCTTTTAATTTACATCATAAATTTACTATTGTTTTTGAAAGAATATATACTATTGATTAAATTAGTTTTATAGAATCTTACCTATAGTCTCAATCAAGGAGTGCTACAATATTGTTTTTTATAACATTATAAGTTTCTATTTTATTCTAATTCCTTAAGTTATGGTAATCTGGTTGGCACATACAAAATTATTAATGATTTATCTGAGATTAGACATTTGATTTTGCCGCCTGTTATATCGTATGGGCCCGTAATTTATAAGAACGTGTAATTTAGGGAGGTAGTGGATTTTTCTGATCGGACGCAAATGATACTTGAAATCGTACGAGCAGTCTTGATTGCGTATCGGCCCTGCTTTCTGCCTAGCCCAACCAGTTAAGTCCAGAACACAAATAACAGCCTCGGCAATATGAATCATTATTTACAAACATACTGAGTTTTTATACAAACCAAAGTAATCAATAAACTGATTATAACTCAAGAATCGTATGATAATAAATCAAAGATCAAAATAAAGCTCATGATAAGAGAAAACGAATATGAATAATTTAGTTACGTAACAATTGTACAATAGGAAATAGGCATAATACATTGGTCGATAATAGACCTCAGATTTACCATTCATAATTGACCAGGGGATATAACAAATATACCTATTCGAAACTTCATTCTCGTACTCCACTTATTTAATTGTGTTTGTCACTAACATGGAGGCCGACCTAACACCGCCTATCCTCCATTGTGAGTAATAGGAGTAAGTAAGGAAGATATTTGATTTCCTTTATATGTACTACTAGAAAGACAACAGGTTTTAATATAGACAAGAAAAATCTACTAGAATATTAAAAGATCAATCCATTCAAACATAAATAATCTATTCACATTATATTCATAATGGTTAATATTCAGTTTATTATTTTCATAAAGGGATACTATTACTTCTTAGCATGAATACGAGAAGATTAAGTAGTATTGTAGTGAACAAAACACAAGTGGGGACAATCGAAAGTATTTAAGTACAAATTACAGACTATCTCACTAAATTCTGTTAACCATACAGCAAACAGTTAATTTGCAAAGTAACAACGCATTGTCTCAGTCGTCATTATTCCTTCTGTAAATATTAGATCATCTTCTCTAATTCCATTGTTCATGCATTTTCCCACCAATTGCGCTTCATTTCAGTTGTTTCCTTATCGGTCTTCTGACCATCACCATATACTACTTATGAGGATATAAGTAGACCACACTAAAGTATGTCTAAGAATAAGTATTTGAACAGGCTATTTCGTATTATATCAATCAAGGTACATCTTCAATCAACATAAAAAAAACATTTTGTTTATCAATTATTCATACCAAATTGTTTCCAGTTGTTCCTTCATTATTTCTGACAAAATCTGTTACCTTTTTTGCTTTTAAATAATTCCGTTTTGTTGACACATGGAAATAAACAATTTTATAACTATATACCATATGTTTTCGGTAAGCATTTGGGTTCCTTCTGAGCTATTTACCATATATATATACGAGTTGCATGTGATATAATTCCCAATAATCATCTCAATGTATCTTTAAATGGATGATATACTGAAATTCTAAAGATAAGTCCTTCTAAAAATATGTTAGTTACTGAATTGCCTATTTGTGTTAAATGATTATTACATATACAGGATTTACCGAAATATATAATAAGGGAGAACATCTGTTTGTTTGTTTTTTTTCTTTTCAACGGGCTTTCTGATCATATGACTCAAAGGTGTGAGATTGAATCTGTCAAATTAATAAATTAGGAGTTTTGTGGAGATTTTAGTTTTTTCATAGTTGAAATCATGAGTCAATGGAAGCTACACCACAATAGAAAACCTGGAAGCATTAGATGGCCGTTTCGTCCTATGATGGGACTCCTCAACAGTGCACATTCACGATCCCGCACTCGCAAGATTCGAACCCAGGATGGTTGCTTAGACATCGTGGATTGGTTAAAGTTAAACATTAACACAGTTGGATACCGCCTCAATGGTCTATCGGTTGGGTGCTCTGGCGCGAGACCGGGAGGTCCCGGGTTCGAATCTTGCGAGGCGAGGTCGTGTATGCTCACTGCTGAGGGGTCCCATAATAGGACGAAACGGCCGTTCAATGCTTCTAGGGCATCCCTGGTGCTCTAGCTTCAATTGATTAACGCTTTCAAACATAATATTACCATTGTAGGTTTAGGGCGAAAACAAACTGTTTTTTGTATGCACAAACGAGTTTGAATTTTCGTATTGTTAAGGCTTCAATAAACCTTAGTATATTCCCTTTTACACTTTTGTACAACGCCACAAAAGCCGTGTTAATATTAATCTTATGACCTTAAATTCACTTGGTATTGTTTGCTTGTATCTTTCCACTGTCATTTAGGACTACAATCGATCAGTCTCTTGTTGGCATATGTGTATCGATATTGCTTTAAGTCACAAGTATTATAAGTAGATATGGATGGTGTCTAGTAATGGAATCCTGGACCTGTATTTCGTTCTATTTAGGAATCGTTATCTAGATGTACTTGCATTCCAGAATTCATGATAGTCATATGTGTAGTTGCATGGAAAGCAATCAAGAGATTTGAATTTGAATTTCTACATCTCTGACCCACCAGCTGAATTTATTTATTTATTTATTTAGACACATAAATATTTGTACAAGGGGGCACCAGATATATATGCGCCACAAAAAGCCATGAGAGTGGGAATACAGAGAAAGGGTAAAGTGCATATAACAAAAAAAGAAAGAAAAATGAGAAGAAACAACAAGAACCACAGAGTTTATGTTAGTGTAATAATGAGAGTAATAATGGAGGAAACAGAAATGTACAATCAGAAGATCTCTTTCAGTTAAGGAGGTTATGACCACTCTTTATGAAGAAAGTAAAAGATGGTCACAACAGCATTGCCACTGGCTTCTATTCTGAGCCAGATCTGATAACGTCCCTAGCCACTGTGTAGCACCACCTCCGAAACCCAAACCAGAGAGTCATGAAGGACCAACACAAGCCAGTCATGTACAGATTTCTTTTGTGCTACAACATCAAGTCATGAGCTGATTACCTCTCCACTTTTACCAACCAGTCCCAGCGTCGGCAAATAATACACGACGTTGAATTCTCTGAGACGACATTCGTAGAACATGTTTAAGCCACCGGAGCCGATGTTTCAAGATGATGGTACTAATTGAATTGTCGTCTCTGCGCACGAACACACGATGCCGGACCTCTGCATTACTAACATAGTGCTGCCACTGGATGTCAGCAATCCTTCGAAGACAACAATAATCAAACACACAGAGTTGTCTAACATCCTCAACTCGGAAAGTTCAAGTTTCACAAGCATAGAAAAAAACTCTCACCAATGCATTGCAGATCCGACCTTTTACGGCCAGACTAACATCACAAAGGTGCCGAACATGGCACAGATTTGCACAAACCGCTCTGGCTTTCACGAACTCGACTTCTATCTTCTCCCCTTTTAGGGCGAGTGTAGGTTTAGGTTCCTGCTAGTCTTGTAAAAATAATTTGCATTTCGAAGGTGCAAAGCACATGCGTACCTGCGGACACTGATTGCCAACTGATTAAGTGCGGATTGTATGGCTTAAGCACTATCGCATAGTAAGACAATATCGTCCGCATACGTCATTCCATGACGTTAGAACACTCTCTAGCTCCCAGATCTTTGTAAACAACTCAGTCAGTTTCTTAGCCAGAAAGTCACCACCATCTTTAAAAAAGGCCGGAGGTAAGTCATCTAGGCCCGGTTATTCTTAGCGTTTCAATAGTTGGAGTTCCTTGCGAATTTCCGCCTCATTTGGTGGATTAGTCGTTACCGGCCATGGAGGGCAGGATAATTTGATCGATGTTGTCAAAGCAGCAGGCCAGTTAAACTGCTCTTCAATGAATTCTACCCATCGTCCAACCAGCTGAATTTAATTTATCTTCTTCAATTTCGCTGCTTTGCCTTCCTCTTTTTTTGAGTAAGATCTATAAATAAAATTCATATTTGACTTCGTTCTAAATTTGATTTCCTTTTGAACATTTTCATAATAGTTCAAGATTCCTTCTCTTGTTTGCCTGTATTAAAAAATCCCTGATGACTGATGGATAACATTTGGTTATCGACAAGCAGATAGCAGTTTTGTACTGCATATTATTTACCAGATTTATTTTTATATATGAATGACATAATCTGGTAGGA